TCTCTCTCTCTCTCTCTCTCTCTCTCTCTCTCTCTCTCTCTCCTCTCTCACTCTGTCTAAAAAAAAAAAAAAGTAAAAAGAACGGGGATATGGTTCAGTGGAAAAATGTTATGGGTTTAATCCCCAGTACTCTCCCCCCCCAAAAAAAAAAATCAGGCACAGTGGCACAAGCCTTGTAACACAGCCACTTAGGAGGCTGAGGCAAGAGGATCACAAGTTCAAGGCCAGCCTCAGCAATCTAATGAGACCCTGTCTCAAATTTAAAAAAAAAAAAAAACAAACATGGCTGAGGATGTAACTCAGTGGTTGAACTCCCCTGGGTTCAATCCCCAGTACTGGGGAAGGGGGGCGGTAGGAAGAAAGATAACAACAGAGAGATGTGGCAGAGCCTTTGGAGTTTGCAGTCCTAACAAGGAGCAGCTACTGACTGAGGCAGGGGACTACCCTCATCCCTACCTGAGCTGCCCACCCCTGTTACCCACACCCTCCCCTGAGCTTCAAGCCCCCTCCACCCTAATAGGGTCAGGGGCCAAGCTCTGACAATCAGGCAGTCCCCCCTGCCCACCCCTTGGCTCAGTGAGAATGGGAATCTCCCTGGGGCTTTTCTGGTGGGGCCCAGGGTCTTTCTCCCTCTTGCCACCATTGCCCAGGGCCCTGGTGGGCAGGGGGCCAACTTGGTGGGAAACCGGTAGGAGAGGCAGTTCTTGCTCCCTTAAAACCAGGATTCAGCAGCAGCCTTGCACTTCCTGCCAGGAGACCCCTCATTTTGTCCTGCCCGGTTTTCCCAAGGGCAGTGCAGAAAGGCAAACCAGCAACCACAACCTACGGGAGGGCGTGGTCAGGGAGGGCGTAGCCAGTGAGGGCGTGGTCAGGGAGCGCACCTCAGACAAGGGAACAGGGAATCTGCAGAGACTTGCGTGATCCAGGGAGACAGAAGAACAACCAAGGAAGAAGCAGTTCTTAGTCATTCTCAGCATACATTTATTGAGTGCTTACTGTGTGCCCAAGAGTAAGCCAAGTGCTAGAAACAGCAAAGGGACAGGGAGGAGTCAGGGTCAGCGGTTGAGTTGCCCGTGATGCCATTGACCCTGGTTAACATGGGGAATAGATAAACCCTTCAGGCACCACGCTGATGGACTGGGCTGGGCCCTGGACCCTCGACCCGGCCTGCCTAGATGTTCCTTCTAGCAACAGAAAGGGATCTAGTGAGGCAAGAGCCTCCCCTCCCAGGTGCCAAGGCACACAGTCAAGCTCCTACACACTCCTCTAAACACACACACAATCCCACATACCCAGAACACATCTCAGACTTGTGCACGCACACAAACATACAACACACACACACACACACACACACACACACACACACACACACACACGGACACAGAGTCAGAGCCAAGCGGTAGCCAAGGAGGTTCTCCCCCCCATGGCTGGGATCTGAGTCACTCTGCTCAGTATAAACCTGCCCAGTACTTAGAGATGACCTCGGGATGCTTTTTGGCCAAGTCTCTTACCAAAATGTGAAAGACATAAAGGAAACATGATCGAGGGAAAATAGCTTAAGGCTTTGCCGATTCTGGGAGGAGTGGGGTCAGCAGGAATGGACCTCACTTGCTTTACTTGGCCATGGTCATGTCATGGTCAGAGCCGCCTTAAGTCAAGGTCCTGTCATATGGAAGTGGGGGCAGGGACCTCGCTGTGCTGTCTGCTCTTTGTCAGGGCCATAAAAATAATGCCAGTGTGGCAGCCTGCTCAGTGCCAGGCACACCACCATGCAGGTGCTTTACCTGCATGTACACCTGGTTGCTCTTCCCAAGCTGTCTCCTTGACAGAGATGGAGGCCACCTCTGAGAAGGGTCAAGGTCAGGGAGCAGTCAGTGCTGAGGCCCTGCTTGGGTGGGGGAGAATGACTAACTTCTTTAGTGACCAAGGGGCACAGACGGTGGCTCCATGCTGGCAGGAAGAGGCTGGAGCTATGGCAGGATGCCCTCCGGAGGATGGTGCATCTCCCTGACACTTGGGAAGCTCAGGGTGAGTCAGGCATGGAGGAGTCGCCTATGGAGCCTGCCTGCTCACACTGACCTTCCCACCAACCCCAGGACAGGGCTGCAGCCTGAGGATAAATAACACCCTGACTTGGGGGGACCCTAAGTTCTTAACCCTCATAAGCCCATGGTCTATATTTAGGGAAAATAGGCCATTGTTCTCAAGTTGGGTCTCTGATAATTGACACCTTCTTGGCCCAAGAGCCCATGAGAACCCTCCTATCACCCCTCAGGGGGAGGGAAGGGGAGCTGCTACTGAAATGACCCCTGAAGCCCGATTCTGATAAGACTTTGCAGAGCTCTCTGCAGGAGCCCCTCATCACGGGTTACTCACAGCTTGTCCCCAGTCCCTCATCACCCCCACCCCAATTGTATATCTATTCCAATTCACACAGGTTGATATCAAGTGCATTGAAAACCCCACAGAGCTGAACGTGTGCGCTACTGTCTGGGATAGTCCTGCCCATATGACCCCAATACTAGATGTCCTCCCCACTTTCAGTGTCCTTGCAACTTAGGGCAGGGTGATGTCCTCCTCAGCTGTCTGGGCCAGGCAGCGTCAGGTTAAGGAAGGTCTGCACTGAGTTCTTTTGACTGGGACAATGCTGGGCACAGGAGGGAGAGAGGTGGAGCAAAACTAGGAAGGACCCCGAGGGCCTGAACCTTCTCTTTGGCCTTTATGAGGGCTGGAACTTTTCTCTATGAGCAGGCCCCAGCAGTGGGAGCTGCCGGCAGAGGCCTAGGGAGTTTAGAGGAAGCCGACCACTAAGAATGCCTTGATCCCAGAGCTAGAGACAGGAGGGGCTCCTGGCAGTGTCCCTAAACCTGGCTCGGCCCCCTTCCTCACTCTGAAACCACAAGACTGGACATCACTTCCTGTTTCTTCCCCACTTGGAGGACAAAGGGGAAGGTGAGAGGCTGGTGGCCACTTGGTGCCCCCTGCCTGCGATCAGTCTCCATCTCAGGGCACTCCTCTTGAGATTGGGGCAGCTAGGGAATTGCACCCTCAAGTACCCATCAGCCTCCAGAGCCCAAGGACCCCCTCCTTCCTGATGAAACTCTTGGCTCCAAGAAATAAAAATTCTACCTAAGCTTCCTCCCCTTCCTGGGGCTGCTCGTCTCCCTGCTCCAGAAGCCCTAAGACGGCTGCTCATAATGGAATGTTCTGGTCTTGAGGGCTTGGTTCCTCCAATGTCTTAAGATCCACACGTAAGCCCTGCCCTTAACCCTAGGCAAGTTATTCCACCTCTCTGGGTCTCAGTTTTCCAACTGTAAAATGGGGATGATAGTTTATCTGTTTAACTCTACAGGATTCAATGATAGTAACAGGAAGATATGTAACTGTATAAAGGCAGCATGACAGGCCCGAATCCTGACTRGGGGTACCAACCCATCTGGCTCATCACCACCTCTGTAGCTGGCTTCCATTTTCACGCCTCTAATCCTCACCCACTGCTGGCTCCAGGCTATTTTCAACCTTCACTTCTAGTCTCTCAATGCTGACATCTTCCCTCAAAGTGCCTCTCCCTAAAGGTGTGGGCACTGGGCCTAGGTGCTGCTGGGCACAGCACAGGCCATCTGCCCAACATCATAGAGATCTTCCAGCTGGAAGGGACCTTGCTAGTCAGCATTTCCCCAAACTGCCCTCCTCTTCACCAGTGTATCTCGGACTTTGGGAGGCACCAGAATCACCAGAGGCCACTACTGGAATCTACAATTTTAACCAACAGCCAGGAGCCTCTGCTGCAGATAGCCATGGGCCACATGTTGGGGATGGCTCTGGTGGTTAGAGCCAGGCCGCAACAGTACACATACCCCTTCTTAGAGACCCTCAAAGAGTACCATGAGCATTTCCAAAATTAGACTATACATCTTTTAAATTAGAATAACCATTAACACATCATAGACCAGCACCTGGGTAGTGGTTTGGAAAATGTCAGTTTTTTTTTTTTTAGTGGGGGTGGGGAGGACAGGGAGATGATGGGTTTGGAACCTAAGGCCTTACACATGCTAAATATGTGCTCTACACTGAGCTAAACCCCAAGCCCATTATTTGTTGGGTTCTGATTTTTTTTTKGGGGGGGGTACTGATTATTGAACACAAGGTACTTTACCACTGAGCTACATCCCCAACCCTTTTTAAGACAGAATCTCACTAAATTGCTGAAGGTCTTACTAAGTTGCCAAGGCTGACCTCAAATATGTCATCTTTCTTGCCTCAGAGATTACAGGTGGCCCAGATGGGTTGATTTTTAATATTTAAGCAATCTTGAGCCTAAGAGATTCAGTGGCCAGCTGTTACTATGGAGCTCAAATTAGGCCTGAGTCTGTCCCCTCCTCTTCTGTTTGTCCACCATATCCTGACACTGTTCTCTGAGCCTGCAGTTCTCTTGGGTCACCCTATATCCTACACTCAGGAGGAATCCTTGGGGTTGTGGAGCAGTGACAGGAAATCTGTGTAGGTGCTGAGACGGGGTTTGGATTAGCTTGTCTGGCTGGGACAGGCAGCAGAGGGGGTGGCCCACACTTCCGCACAGCCCAATTTGTCTGGGGTGGAGGCAGACGTAAGGTCTTTTCCTGGCTCACTGCCCCTCCCCAGTCAGGTCACCCAAGAAATGATGAGCAGCAGAGTACAGCTGGGGCTGGTCAGTGGCAGAACATCTTGTCCTGCCTTTTCTTCTCAGGCTCAAAACAAACACACACTGCCATCAACTGATATGGTAGGCGGGGCGGCCCTTACTGGGAGGAAAAATGGATTTATTGCTTTATAAAAAGAAGTATGATAAAACTTACGAGAAGAAAAACTAAAGACCTAAAAATCAGCCCACTCCTCTCAGCACCCAGCAGGTCTCAGACACATTTCTGGGGGCAGTCAAGTTGGGTGGGGTAACCAGCCAGGCAGGCTTGGCTTCTCCCTTGTAAACAGCTCCAGGGCCCTGGCAGAATCTGCCAGCAGGGGGCGCTGTGGCTCCGGACAAGCTCCACGTCCTGAGCCAGACTGACTCCCCAACCCTGGGGCTGCCGCAGGCCCAGTGGGCTTCTGGCCTGGTTGGTGGGCATAAGGACAGACCCTAGGGCTCATCCTCATCTCACACACCACATGTACACACATTCCACACAAACACACCCCCCCTCGGTCCCTCATGGATCAGTCTCCTTCCCTGTACAGGTCTGGGCCTCCATGTCTGTCAGCACAGCCTTATTTCCACCCCACAGGAACAACTCTGTGTGTGTGTGTCAGGGAGGTACCCTGGTGGTGCCCTTTAATTCCCTTCAGGTCACAGACTGGACCGAGGGTGGCAGTGGAAACATTCTCCCCACCTGCCCCCAGCCCTGAGGGAGGAGGTGAGGAGCAACCAAGCAGCCTTGTCCAGGGCTCCTGAGGCTTAGTATGGCCATCCTGCCCTCCATCCCCACACTAGGCTGTGAGCCAGGGGGCTTCTCCACAGGCCTCAAATGAGAGGACAAGCCATGGACAGGCCACAGGGGGCTGGGATTACAAAGGGGTTAGCACCAACAACAGGAAGCGGGTCCTTCCTTCCTCAGGCAGCCACAGACTGACCATGGGAGGAGGCTGAGGGGCCAGGCGAGGGGGTTGCAGACAGTGCAAGCCTTTGTCCTCAGGCAGGTGTGGTCGGTGGGCATGCAGCCGAGAGGCAGGTGGTGGGCAGTGGATGGCAGGCCCCTCTGCTTTGGCAAAAGGCAGAATCCAGACCCTTAAGGGAGAGAGCCTGCCTGCTGGGAGTGCTTTGGGCTCCTCCTGCAGGCACCATGGAGACCCAAGGCCCTGGGGTCCCTTGGGGTGGCAGAGCAAAGCCAAGGCGGCCCTGCTTCCAACAGTAGGAAAATTGCCCATCCTGGGCCCTCTCCCATCCTTTCACCGCGGAGCTCCGAGGCAGGACCAAAGCCCTGAGAGGGAGCATGGACTCCAACATGGTGAAGGAGAGGATCCTGGGGGTGCATGGGGTCCTCTGGGGTGAGGAGGAGGACACTGATCAGTCACTGAAGCATGGGCAGGAGGCCACAGTCCTGAGGTGGTCAGTGCTACACGAAAGCCTCCCGGTTGGATGAGCCATTGATCTTGAGGAAAAGCTTGTCCTCTTCCCTCTTCTGCTGCAGCTGCCTTTCCAGCTGGCGCCGGTAGCAGATCAGGTAGAGGGGCAGGCAGAAGCCCAGCATGCTCATGATGAGCAGCCCCACATTCACCTGGGAGGTGGGGAGGAGAGGGCCATCACAGGGGGTGGGGGCCAGGCAGCGCCCAGCTCAACACCCCCCTCACACTCAGGTTTGGAGAAAAGAGTTGGTTACAAGAGAGAAGAGGAAAAAATGAACAGGAAGGTTCAAGAGATCCCAGGGCCGTCACTCCACATTCCAGCATCTGAATTCCCCGATTCCCCACAGGCTACCAGCAGCCCTCAGGGCCTGGCCCTCCACCTTAGATCTATTGATCTGAGTCTCCAGGGTGGGGCTGGGGCTGTGACAACTCCTGGTACTTGGTTAAGAATGCAGGAGGGCCTGGGACAGGACCTCTCTTCTACTTACCCCAAAATCAAGTCCAGAGAGGTCATTTTTCTCTTTCTGCCTGGCCACCATTTACAAGGGGACATAGTTCTAACCAAGTTCCCAAATTGCCTATCATCCGTGCTCTGAAGCCCCCAGCTCCCAGTTAGTAGAGTGGAGCAGATGTCTGTGACACCCTGTTCTAACCCTTCTTACCCACAGAGGGTCTCCTTGGAGGGGACCCATCATGGCCAAAAATAGTGGCTGCTGCAGGAGAGCAAAGAGCGCACTGATCAGAGACTGCAGTCCCGTGAGGCTGCCGAACTGCGTGGAGGGGTACCTGTTGGAGCAATTGAGACCTGTCACAGTCAGGGCCATTCTCAGGCAAACAATGCCTTGGCTTCAGCTGGTCAAGGTGTGCTGGTGCCCTGGGCTACACCTGCTTGAAGGGAGAGGCCAGAACAGCCTCCGAGTCCCTGGATTACTTTCTGCTGAGCAGTTCTGCAGTTTCTCTTTTGGCCCAGCCCGAGGCCCCAGACTCTGCAGAGGGCCCACCCGACCTGCCCCACCCAGATGTGCCTGGGCCTTGTGGGTGTCTGGCTGAGCCGAGTGGGGACGTGGTGCCAACAGGAGTCTGCGGCTTGGGAAACAGGCCCAGGGAACAGGTTGGAGGCTGGGCCTGGCTCTGCGGCACCCTCCTCCCGGGGAGTGTTGTGTAATCACGGAAACTCAGCATCACTGCTCTCCCCGATTCCCTCCCGTCCTGCCAGGGCAGCCACAACTTCCTCCAGGCCTAGGGGGGCCAGGCGGGGGCCAGGCAGACCTGGAATGACCCCCATGGGATACTGCTGGAAAAGGGAGTGAGTTCTGGGTTAAATCTCGGCAAACATCAGGCTTTGCTGCCCAGAGGTGGGAAGGGGCTCCCCGCAAGGAATGAGCTGGTCTCCTAGTCACAGACGTGGATGACGGTATCTGGGTTCCAGTTTTGGGGCCAATCCCTGGGTCAAAGGGGGAACAGCTGGGTGGCTTCTGAATAAAGATAGGGTTTCATTTTAGCCGAGGTTTGAGAAGGCTGTGGCCGGCACTGGGCCATTTAGGCTCTGGGTGAGAACTGTCTGGCACATTCTGGGCTCAGCCATCTATGTCGCTGTCCTTGTTGAGGGCCATTAGAATTTCAACATGTAGCTTTCAGCAGCCAGAACCCATCCCTGTACTTCCCAGTGAGCAGCCAGGGCAGCCCTAGACTCGGATGAGCAGCAGCCCCAGAGGCCCTACGTGCTGTGCTGCACGGGGTCACTGACTGTGGCTGGGAGAACCGATTTCATGTTAAATGCCAAGTCTTGTGTGCACCCAACTGTCTGTCCACTGACCACTGACCATGGATCAGGTATGGCTTTGCCTACACACGCCCAGTAGAAACCATAGTACTCATCCCCTCATGCAAGAAGATGAACCCTGCCTTGGCAGTTTGGCTCAGCCTCAGGGTCTTCTCAGTCCCACAACAAGCTCCCCAGGTCATGCCCTCCTCCTTGTCCGCTAGAATGCCCACAGTTGCTAGAACTTACACAGCAGCGTACAGGCCCCCAACAGCAGAGTGGATAAATCCTCGTACGATCGTGTGCAGGATGAAGGAGAAGATCTGAGGGAGGGAGAACAGAGAATGAGCAGAAGACCACCAGGGTCTTCACCTTGCCCCATGCCCTCCAGTTCTTGAGGTCTTGAGTCACAGGAGCAGGGGCAAACCAACAGTTGGCTGTCGCCCACTAAGCACTGCCCTTTAATCAGGCAAGATGGTCAGGGCAAGGGTCTTCCAGTATTGCAGAAGGCCAGGGGAGACACCCAGGAAGCAAGGACCCTCCCACCTAGAACTAGCACAGCCTCCCATGGCTTACTGTGGTCTATACCCCAGTGTTGACGCAGACACATAACAGAATCCGTGGGTGTGCACACCTGTGTGTTCAATGTACTTCAACACCTGGCCATTCGTAAATAGGGAGGGACTCTTGCTTTCCTACTGTGCAAGGTGCAAGATACCATCTGGACTTGGGCTACGCCCATCTGAAAGCAATGCCATCACTTGTATCCCTTCATAGTTTGTGAACTTGGGACTGAGCCAAAATCTACTGTTAGAACACTTTCACAGATCAAAGGATGGGGCCAGACAGATGACAAGGTCTACCTTGCTTGCAATCTCTGACAAGAGTCAGGTTTCTAAAACATCAGAAATATTGTGCAAAGAAATTAAGCCTTTGAACCCAGATGCCAAGCCATGATCATGGTCTTTCTCCACTGTCTCCAGGGTAGAGGCCCTGTGGGCATTCTTGTTCTAGGGAGGCAGAGTCTCCCAACCACACCACAGATTGGCTAGACCTCTTTGGACATCAGATTCCAGCTGTTTGAGCAAATGAAAAACAAGTAACCACACAACTATCCCACAGAGTTCCAGTAAATGCATSATGGTGGTTCTCATGGTATGTGAGATGTCCAAGAGACTAAGGAGAACAATGTGCCTTCACAAAGAACAGTTCTGTGAAAGACAATCCAAATCTCCTTTACAAGCTGGGTGTGATGGTGAGTGCTTGTAATCCCAAGAACTGGGGAAGCTGAGGCAGGAGGATGGCAAATTTGAGACCAGCCTGGATAACTTAGTAAGATTCTGTCTCAAAATAAAAAAGTAAGGGGGGGGGGAAGGCTGGAGTTTTAGCTCAGTGATGGAGCACTTGCCTCACAAGTATGAGGCACTGAGTTTGATCCTAGCACCACATAAAAACAAATAAAGGCATTGAGTCCATATACAACTAAAAATAAGTAAATAAATGAATAAATAAACAGGAAGGGATATAACTCAATAGTAGGCAGAGCACTTGCCTAGCATGTGTGAGGCACTGAATTCAAACCTTAGCACCACATAAAAAAATTAATAAAATAAAGGCATGATGTCCCTTTACAACTACAAAACATTTAAAAAAAAAAAATAAAACAACAACAACAACAAAAACCCCTCCTGTATAGCTCCCTCTTCCATTGAACACAGAGCCTAGCAGGTAGCAGGCCCTCTATAAATAATGGTGGCTTGTTTGGTGGGTTGGCATTGGTTGATTGGTTAAGTTGAAAGAGTGAAGTCACATTGCTTTATCAGTGACTTCTAGTCTCTAAACAACATTCTTTCTTGTCCCATTCCCCACCTGGCCTCTCCCTCTCCCCATACCCACCTGTAGAGGGAGATTGGGAATGAGGCAAGTCACCCCAAAGCCCACAAGCAGCAGGTTTGTAAAGGCGAAGGCCCGCATGGCATTGGTGACCTTCTGGATCTGACGGTCTCGCTTCTTCTTCTTCTCACCTCTGTGGAGATGGAACATATACTGGAACTGGGAGGGTCCCTGGAGGAAGGTGGACCTTTCCCAAAAGTCAGGCCTTGGGAGTCCCAGCATGCCGACTGATGCAAAACTCACAGGCCACCCAAGTGCATCTTAGCGATTGTGTCAGAGAACTAGGGACACTCCCTGGTCCAACTTCTACATTGAGCACCAGGTATGAACGTCAGTGGAGGGTCTCAGACCCGAGAAGGTGGCCCTCTACACACTACCCTACTTCACTGAAGTGCCAATGAGGGGGAGGGAGGTATGCGCCCACCTAGGGTGTGGGGAGCCTCACTGCGCCATTGCCTTGAGTTCACCCAGATCTCACAGGAAGCTGGGGATCAGCTAGATAATGAGCCAAATAAGGGAATGAGTGGATTTCCCCTTGGGGTGCAGAGAGGGTGAAGGGGAAATAAACATGTAGCAGATGGAACCAGGATGGGCACAAATAACCTCTTGGCTGTGGGACAGATAACAGATAGATAACAGAGCATGCTCTGTAATTATTTCCTTGTGAATTAACTATTACGAAGTCCAGTCTCACCACCCACACCTAGACTCCATGGATGATCCCATGTCTAAGAACCAATGCCAAGTGCTCAGGGATCTGCAGGGAGTCCCAGGCCCACCACTTCCTAACTATGTGACCTCAGGCAAACGACTCAGACTCCCAGCTTCAGTTCTCTCATCTGTGAAATGGGTATAACACTAGTACACACCTCCCTGTGGTGAAGTGAGGCTTAACTGAGGTATTGTGTGTTAAGTGCTTGGCACTGGGCCTGATACAATAAATAGCAGCTTATTATATTAAGGTGGAGTCTCAGAAGATGGCATTTAATTCATCCTCTGATCTTAAAAGCCCAACCCTTCCATAAAGTAAGGCTCCAGCACCTTGCTTAATCCTCCCAATCATCAACAAATCTATTAATATATTGGTTATTAAATCTTACTACTCAAACTGAGTGGAATAAACCCCATGGGCAAGATGGTCCCATAGTGCTATTCATGCCAAGGATCTGAGGGCCATCCTGGGGCCATAGGTCTCCCTTCTGGTTTCTCTCCTGCTTTGTGCCTCCAAACTTTAGCATACCAAAGAATTTCCATAAAGAGACTGAAGACCTGAATGTGCAGGGGGCTGGCTGCATGAGTATCTTCAAAGAGTTTCCAGACTACAGAGCACACTCCGCTCCTGCCCTCCTGCTGCCTAAAAAATTGAACCCTCCACCCTGTCCCTGCCTAACTTGAGACTCAGTGGGCCTTCTCCAGGGGCTGAGCAGGGCCGTGGCTCTGCCTACGCACTGGGCAGTGTCCTTCTCCTCGGGCTCCTCAGAGGTGTCTTCGCACTCCTTCAGCCTCCAGTCCATGATGTAGCCGATAACAGGTGCAGTCAGCAGGCAGAGCAGCTGGAGTGCGCCGAAGATGGAGGTATAGAGGGCAACTGGGGAGGAAGGAGTTGCGTCACAGGGGCTCCTGCACAGAGCCCTAGGGCACAGGCTGAGCAGGCCTTGGGAAGGTACCCACAAGTCCTTCTGGGGTCTGCCTCTGAGCCCCTTTGTCACTGCAGGTCTTGGGGAGAGCCCAGAGACAACCTCTGAAATCAGAGCTGGGCAAGAGGCAGATCACTCAATTTTCTGCTCCAAATCCTCTGCCTACTTCCCAGAAACAGCTAATAAAATACAGTATGTCACAATGATCCCCCTCATCAGAAGTTCTAAGAAGTCACTATGACTTGGGAACCACAAAATTACCAATGCCCACGATGGAGCCTTTGCGTGTGACTGGCCATTAGTTTTCTGCCTCTAGGACTAACCCAGGAAGGCACCACTCATCAGGACTGTGACGTAAAGGCTTTCATCAGCAAAGAGACTTAAAGTTATAAAGGACAGGAGCACAGTTTCAGGGAGATAGCTGAAAGTTGATTGCCCTGCCCCACCCCCACCCCAAGCAGGATGATGAGAGTTCAAGGTGAGAAATCTCCCTTTGAAGAGAGACTGGCGGGGAGGGGTGTTGCAATGTTCCCTGACAACCCCCTGCTTACCCGTGGCCATCACTGCATTGAGAAAGCAAAGGCGGAAAAAGCAGAAAAGACAAAGGTTAGTGGTAGGAAAGGCCATTAGAGGGGATGGGGGAGGAGGCAGGCTAGTGTTCACACACCTCTTCCCACCAAGACCTGCTCAGAGCACTCAGCAGGCTGAGACTGCAGCAGGCTCCCTGCAGTGGATCTGGGAGCAGGCCCAGCCCAGGCGCCGGCTGACATTTTCCTGTCTGCCGGTGCCTCATTGCAGGCAGGCTGGTGAGTCAGGCCTGTGGTGCTGGCTGGGCAAAGTGATGGGGAAGTGATGTGCTGCGTGCAGAAGGCCTTGCAGAATCAGGGTCCCCCACTGCCGCGTGACCCTGTGGGAATGCTGCTCTGTCAGTTACCTCCTGCTGCACTCAAAGCGAAAGGTCAAAGAATCCACCGGACAACCAGGCAAACCATTTGATACCAGAGCTGGTCCTTATACTCTACCAGCTCCCTGACCCTATGGCAGCCCCTCTGGGAAGAGCTAGGGCCATAGGGCTTTAGATGTTGGGTTCCAGAGGAACATGCTGGGGAAGATCAATGCCTTGTCTACTACCATAGACCAAACTTCCTGGCCCAATTTCCTCTACTTCTTTTTTTGGAACTATAAATTGAACCCAGGGTCTTACGCTTATCAGGCACCACTGAGCCACATCCCCAGCATTTTCTATTTTATTTTTTGGTACTGAGGTTTGAACTCTGGGGCACTCCACCACTGAGCCACATCCCCAGGCCTATCTTGTATTTTATTTAGTGACAGGGTCTCACTGAGTTGCTTAGTACCTCGCTTTTGCTGAGGCTGGCTTTGAATTCTCAATTCTGCTGTCTCAGCCTTCCAAAACTCTGGGATTATAGGCATGTACTACCATGTCCAGCCCCTTTTTATTTTTTTTGAGACAGGGTCTCACTAAATTGCTGGGGCTGGCTTTGAACTTGTAATCCTCCTGCCTCCCAAGCCGAGGGGATTACAGGCATGTGCCACTATACTAGCTACAAAGGGGGTTCTGGTGGGTACAATGATATGCATATGACCCCAGTTATGCAGGAGGCTGAGGCAGGAGGATTACATGAGCCCAGGAGTTCAAGGAAACCCTGAACTCAGCCCAAGTTAAAAAAAAAAAAATTTTTTTTAAGGGTTCCTATATGTTATAAATTTGGGAGAACATCATTAGACTAAACAAAGCTATATAGGTTTTTTTCCCCCCCTATACAGCTCCTGAGGCCCTTTACTGCATTCACGTTCATTATACTCTTTTTTTTTTTTTTTTGGTACCCAGGATTGAACTCTGGGGCACTCAACCTGTGAGCCACATCCCCAGCCCAATTTTATATTTTATTTAGAGACAGGGTCTCACTGAGTTGTTTAGCACCTTGATTTTTGCTGAGGCTGGCTTTGAACTCGAAATCTTCCTGCCTTAGCCTCCTGAGCTGCTGGGATTACAGATATGTGCCGCTGCACCCGGCTTCATTACACATTTTTGCACACACTATTTAGTCCTTCTCCCCTTTGCTTTACTCTCAGACTCCCTTGTCTACTACCATAGACCAAACTTCCTGGCCCAATTTCCTCTACTTTTTTCTTTTGGTACTAAGAATTGAACTCAGGGTCTTACGCTTACCAGGCACCACTGAACCACATCCCCAGCACTTTTTATTTTTTTTTGGTACTGAGGGAATAGTGTTACCTAGTTCCCTTTGCTATCTTTTGCCTTTGTTAAAACAGGATTTCTTACCCTAGTTATAAACTTTTGTTTCACCCCTTACAAGGCCTATCATGTCTTCCCCACAGTGAAAAACAAGTAAACCAACAAAAGAAAGTTGCATGCCAGTGAGTCTGCCAATAAAAGGATTTGCCGAATGTGTTTGTCCCATTGGGGATGACTAAAGCTGACTCAGCTAGGCCCTGGGGAAGTACTGACTTTCTTTGTAGGAGCAAAACCTCTAATCAGCTGAAGACCTTCGCTGTTTTCGCATGGGTTATCAGTTCTGTTTCCCGGAGTTAACAAGCCTTAACTGGATTATGATGCTCCCAGGAAATCTTTGCCTTCCTGTTTTACCCATATAGGGCACGGATTCCAGTATGTACCCAAAAGTCTCCACCCAGGACTATGTCCTCCTCCTTGACCCCCAGAAGCTCCACACATGGAGACTCCAGTCTACATGGGGCTAGACTTGCTGGCCTTCTGTGTCACTCAGGTGGAGAAGTCTGCCCTGTTTTCATTTACAGACACATCCTTCAGCCCTCCCCGCCAGCACTGGAAAACATACACCCCACGCCCTAAACACATGGAGCTATTTTGGTCCTTCCCTCCCTCCTAAACCGGGAAACCCTGATGGAGACCTGAGAACAGTCAGGGCTGGCTGTGGTGAAATAGCTCTAACAGCAAACAGAGCCACAGACACTGCCATTTCAGGGCCCTTCTGGTCCAGCTCAGCCTAACACACTCCAGTAGGTGGCTGTGGGGCATGACCCTAGCTGGTGGCAGTGAATGGCACTCTTGGGGCACCTACCTGTCTTCTGGTCGCCACTGACCAGGAACTCAAGGATGCTGTTCATGGCCCCCATGTAGAAGATGAGGCGCAGCTGCGTGACGCACATGGTAACCAGACTGAGCAGCAGGATGGGGCTGAACACGCTGTGCATGAACGAGGGGGCCGCTGCAGGGAAAAGGTACAGGGCTCAGGGCTGAGGCACACAGCCCACTCAGCAGCCAGGAGCTGAGTGCGAGAGAGGAAGGGAGGCCCAAAATGCTGACCAAGTCACTCCACGATGGAGACTGGCAGGGGAAAATAAGGAAGAGCCCGGTGGGGTTCATTGTGCTGGTGCTGGAGCTGGGTAAAACTCTCACCCTCCTGAACTTTAGTGTGCCCATCTGTAAAACTGGGCAAGTGATGCCACCAAGCCCTCCAGGATGAAGTAGGAATTTAATGAGATGATACCACAGAGCCTCAGTTAGTACTGGCCCTAATAAAGGGGGTGCTGGAACCACCCCCTCCAGTTCTGGGTTGGCAGCTCCTCCCAATCACCCAGGGCGCAGACACTGAGGTCTCAGGCAGACCTGGGGGGTGGGGGCCGTGCGGTGAATACCTGCAGCATCTGGCTGGCACTTCACCTCCAGGTCGACAGTGGACAGGCACAGCTTGTGGCCCTCCTGCAGTGCCGCCTGCTCCTTGGCACTCCGCATGGAGCTGCCCACGCTCAGGCGGCGTCCCACGGTGGTCACCTGCTTATAGAACTGTTTCCCTGTGATCTTGTGGTCAAAGCCCAGCCAGCTGAACTTGATCTTCACCCTGGAAGCCACAGGATAGTGTCTGTTGGTGACCCAGGACCCTGGCTAGCATGAGGGTTGGGGCCAAAAGTGTGCAGACTTACGAGTAGTCCATGTCCTCCGGCCCCGGGAAGGGCTCCAGCGGCCAGTTAAAGAAGCAGTTGAGGAAAACCAGCCCAGAGCAGCCTGCCCAAACCACAAGGATGACGATGAAAGAGGCACCCGAGTCGTAGATGAGCTGCCAGGCACATGGGGACAAAGGGTCAGAGTCAGAGTGGGCAGTAGGCACCTGGAAGCCCCTGCTTCCCTGTGCTGAGCTGCAGGAGGAGGCACAGCCCTGGCAGCCTGGCTGGCCCATTGGTCATCCAAAACCCTGCATTCCAATAATTCCAACTTGCCTGGCCCTGGCATGTCACTAACTTGGACCAAAGGTCACCGCCTTGGAGAGGCCTTTGCTTACTACCCCATCACTGTCACGTCTGCCTCACTGGCCCACAGCGAGCAGCCCTGGGTGAGATCAGCGCATTRCTTGATGGATTTACTTGTCTGCTGTTAGTCCAGCTCCCTGAGGACAGGAGGCTGCTGACCCTGTCCACAGAAGCGTGAACAAGGTAGCTTTGAGGCATACGTGCACATATGAATGCATCTCCCTCAGCTCCTCTGTGCAATGGGTGTGACGCTGGCATGGGTCCTTAGAGTGTTGTGTGGTAGGTGGGCGTGAGAATGCGAGTGCTGAGTAAGCTAACAGTTACTGCTGTGAGTACTGATTATTTCCAGTGTCTACATGAGAATCCCCAAAGTATTGGCATACAGCTGCCCAGCTACAGCTGCCCAGGGAGGAGGCCAGCAGTTATAGACACTGAGAAAAGGTAGAGGAATTTGTAGGCTTCTTCACCATCTAGGAGCAAAAGAACCTCCAAAGTCCACAGGACAGCTGGTCCTAGATTCCTACCTCCTACCACCTTGATTCCTAGGTGACCAGTCCACATCTGGGACTGCCTCCCCTCATCAGTAATAGCTCCCCCCCCCTCGGCCCCCCTGCTTCACATCTCTGAGGAGTGTGGCTTTGACTGGGTCCTGGTGCCCAGGGAGGATAAAGTCCTTGCTGAAGCTCTGACAGAGCAACAGGATTTGGGGAGGGAACCTGGGTTGGTAGACTGGGAGGTGTTTGCTTCATCCTGACCCCATGTGACTTCCACAGACATAGAATCCTGCCCGGGAGGGAAACAGCTGAAGCAACTTGGCCAAGAGCAGAGCTTTGGCTAATGAGGAGCCACAGCCCAACAACAACAGGCTAGGGGGACTCAGACCGGAGGGAACTCACCCACCCTCCTTTCCCTAACCCAGCCTGTGGTCACACACTACAGCKATATGCTTGAACCTCCAGTTCCCCACGGCCTAGGGGTTTTATTTTCTTACTCCTGTGGTGCCCAGGTGCATCCTGCCCAGGTGCAAGGGGTGGAAAGGGAGGGGCCTTCTCCAGGGCTAACAATGACTTCTCTTTTCAGAGAGGATTAAGGAGCCTTGGGGGAGGCCTCTGCACATACACTAGCACAAAAGTACCCTGCTGAAGACCCATGGCCACACCCTTACCTTGATTCCTGGGAAGGTAACTGCTGAGGAGGCGTAGGATCCAATCATCAAGGCAATAAATGTGGACCGAAGGTCGCCGAACATGTTGGGCAGCTAAAAGATGGACAGAGGCAAGGTTTAGGGGAGGGAGTTCAGAGCCTAGGCAGTGTCAGGGACGCCCGCTCACCTGCCCTGCTCCAGGGTAAGCCACAGGGTAGTCCAGGGGTGATTACTATCAATTGCAGATTTTCCCTTTCTGGACTGAGATGGATGAGACAAGAAAAGGAAAATTAAAAAAAAAAAAAAATCAGGTTGGGTAATAGTGGCGCATGCCTGTGTCAGGATGCTGAGACAGGAGGATCACAAGTTCAAGGCCAGCCTCAGCAATTTAGCAAGGCCCTGAGAAACTTGTCTCAAAATAAAATATGAACAGGGCTGGGGATGTGGCTCAGGTGGTACAAGCACCCCTGGCTTCAAACCCCAGTACCAAAAAAGAGGGGGTTTCCAAATGTAAAGAGATGATTGTTTGACTTTTGGGGGGTTAAGTATCCCCCTGTTTCTGCCCCTGGCATAGGCCAGGGGCCTTCTTATCTTTTCAGGGTTATACTGAGATGCCAGAGAGCAAAGTTAAGAGCCTCAGGCATCCCTCAAAGGGAGAAAGCCCGATAAAAATAAGAATCTATTTGGGGATAAGAACGTCACTTTATAAATAAAAATATCAGAGTCCCAGAAGGACCAGATGTCATCAAAAGCTGCTTTTAGTTTTGAGAGAGTAGGTTTCTGGGAGGTGCCATCAGAATTCTATAGTTCCCTCAGGGCTAATAAGAAAACCAGCGCAGGTTCCTGGTTCTGAATTTCTAAGTACAAATAGGGGATCCTCCTCCCACCTGAGGTCCCATCCTAGCGATGGGCACCTGAGAAGGCTAATGGTGGAATTAGCCTTAATTAATCAGGCCCTGTGTCATGACAGCTCACCCTGGGTGCAGGGCAAGAGATGGCCCATTGAACAAGACTTCAAGGCCCAACCCTCAGTGATTCTGCAGAAACCCAGGTACAGTAAAATGCTACAGAGTCATGAATTCAGACAGATCTGGGGCAAAGTACATCCTCCCAAACAACTAGCCATAGCTTTTCTTCTCCAGCCTCAGGAGAGACTGCAATGCAGTAGACTCACACCCACAATGTCCCTGTCGTTGCTCCTGAGAGTTATGCTATCCAATGTCATTGAATTCAGGTTGCCTCCAGGGATATAAGCTATATTCCCCTTCCCCACTTTTGACTTGAATCATTTTTGTTTTATCAAACATGGCTACTGCAAGCTAAATCGTTGCTGCTGAATGGAGGCAGCTGGAACTTGGTTATATGCCTGTTCCTCATTATTTCTGCTTTTTTCTCCTCACAAATGTAAGTAAATAATGGACATTACCAAAACTTATAATTCTGGGTTGGGCTAGGTGTGGTGGTGCACACTTGTAATCCCAGCAGTTCGGGAGGCTGAGGCAGGAGGATCACAAATTCAAAGCCAGCCTCAGCAATGGCAAGGTGCTAAGTAACTCAGTGAGACTGTATTTCTAAATAAAATACAAAATAGGGGTGGGGATGTGGCTCAGTGGTCCAGTGGTCCTGAGTTCAATCCCTAGTATCAAAAAAAAAAAAAAAAAAAAAAAAGCGGAGGGCTGGGGATGTGGCTCACTGGTTGAATGCCCTTGGGTTCAATCCCCAGTAAAAAAAATTAAAAAAAAATTAAAAAAAAAATTCTGGGTTGGGGATACAGCTCAGTGGTAGAGTGCCTACCAAGCATGAGGCCCTGGGTTGACTCCCTAGCACTGCAACACTGCAAAAAAATAAAAAATAAAAAAATCCCATGCTTGGGCTGGGGTTGTGACTCAGCAGTAGAGCGCTCACCTGGCACGTGTGAGGCCCTGGGTTCAATCCTCAGCACCACATAAAAACAAATAAAATAAAGGTATTATGTCCATCTACAACTAAAAAAATAAATATTAAAAAAAAAATCCCATGCTTCAAAGGACACCACTGAAAAAGTAAAAAGCCAGATTGGGGATGTGGTTCGGTGGTAGAGCACTTGCCTAGCACGTATGAGGCCTTGGGTTTGATCCCCAGTACTGGGGGAAAAAAAGTTTCAAAATGCATAGAATGGAAAAAAAATTTTACAAAAATCATATATATGATTAGGGGCTTGTTTTAGGATATATAAAGAACCCCTATAATTAATAAGAAAACATATTTTTTAAATGGGCAAAGGAGCAGGTAAGGGTACATGCCTGTAATCCCAGTTATTTGTGAGGTTGAGGTAGAATGATCCCAAGTTTGAGGACAGCCTAGGCAACTGAATGAGGCTCTGTCTTAAAAAATTTAAAAAAGCACTGGGGGACATACCACAGGGAAGAGCATCCCTGGGTTCCATCCCCAGTGCCTCAGAATTAACAAGAAGAAAGACAAAGATGTGAACAGGCRCTTCTCCAAAGAAGATATACAAATGGCACACAAAAAAAAAAAAAAAAATCCACAGGAAAAGATACTCAACATCATTAATCACAAAGAAATGCAAATCAAAACCACATGAAATACCAGTTGGTCCCCACTAGGATGGCCATACTAAAGTCAGATTTAACACATGTTGTTAAGAATGTAGAGGGATTGGAATGCTCATGCACTTCTGGTGAAAAACAGTTCAGTCACTTTGGAAAACAGCCCGGCAGCTCTTCAAACAGTTAAAACACAGTAACCACACAACCCAGAAGTTGACTCCGAACTTCATACCTAAGAGAAATAAAGATGTTCACACAAAAACTTGTATGTCAGTGTCTACAGTAGCAGCATTCCTTATCACAGCCCAGAGTGAGAACAACCTGAATGTCCATTAATGAATGRATAGATTAACAAATCTGGTATACTCAATTATTATTTTTTGGTTGGTTGGTTTTTTATAGTAGGGATTGAACCCAGGGACACTTCACCACATCCCTAGCCCTTTTTATGTTTTATTTAGAAACAGGGTCCCACTAAGTTGCTCAGGGCCTAAATTGTTGAGACTGGCTTTGAACTTGGGATCCTCCTACCTAAGGCTTCCAAATTACTGGGATTACAGGTGTGTGTGTCTGGCTTCATCAATAGTATTTGGTTATAAAAAGAAAAGACGTACCCTAAAAACATGGATAAATCTTGAAAACATATTGCTAAGTGAAAGAAGTCAGACACAAAAGACCACATATTATATGATTCCACTTAYATGAATTGTCCCCAATGGGTAAATCCATAAAAACAAAGATTACTAGTTGCCAAGGCCTGGGAGGTAAAGAGGGAGGGACAACTAATTGATACAGGGTTTCTGTCTGGGGTCATAGCATTGATTGTAGTGGTGAATGTACAACTACAAAATATACCAAATATATAAATACACTAAAAACCAATGAATCGTACACTTCAGGTGAACTGACTGGTTTGTGAATCAGTATAATCAATATAGCCATTAAGAAAATAAGACCCAGTGGCTCGGGAGGCTGAGGCAGAAGAATTGTGTGTTTCAAAGCCAGCCTTAGCAACTTAGTGAGGCCCTAAACAACTTAGCAAGACCCTGTCTCAAAATAAAATATAAAAAAGGGCTGGGGATGTGGCTTAGTGGTTAGGTGCCCCTGGGTTCAATCCCTAATACCAAAAAGAGAAGAGAAGAAGAGTAAGAGACTTAAGATTTTTTGGTATCCCAGGGTTAAAAATGAACATGAATGAATCTATAGTATGTGGCCAACTAAGCCACCTTAGAGAATGAGGCTTGGGAGCCCACCTAGGCTCCCCTCAAAATTTCTAGCACACAACAAAAAGCTCTTCCCAGCCAAGTACGATGATGCCACAACCTATAATCCCAGAGATTCTGTAATTCCAGGGACTCAGGAGGCCGAGGCAGGAGGTTTGCAAGTTCAAGGCCAACCTGGACATTTATAAGACCCAGTCCCAAAATAAAATATAAAGGGCTGGGGGGCAGCACTCCTGGCTTTGCAAAACAAAACAAAAAACAACCAAAACTCTTCCCTTGAAGAGTGGGTGCTATGTCCTAGGCTTCTCAGGAAGGATCAGAGAGGGGAAAGGGAGAGGCAGAGCAGAAAAGAGATGAGAAGTGCTCATGTGTGTCCAGACACACCCCGATGAGCTCGAAAGGTGCCAAACTGCATTCTCTGCACACCTGCCTCCTAGGTATGCTGCAATTCAAAGGACAAGCCCGGTTCCAGAGTTCACATACTTGGGCTGGTCCTTGCTAGTCCCACCTGCAAAGCRGCTTTGTAAGGGGACATCCTGGAGCCATATCCACCTCGGGGAAAATCCAAAGATTAGGTCTATGGGGAAAGAGGGAACTGTTCCTGCCTGGGATTCCACTCCAACCAGTACAGATAAAAAGAGAAAGGGATCAGAGAAGGCTTAGAACCCAACCAGAAGATCAGATGGAGGCGAAGGTTAAGCCAGGTGAACATTCTTTTCCTTGAGAATGAACATATGTGCACATAGCTATTGTTTCTTTAGGGTAGATTCCCCAAAGTAGAATCACCTCTGGGCACAAACTTCTCAACCGGGATTCAGAAATACTCCAAAAAGCACACAGCTAGTTTGCCGTTAGTTTTCTTTCTACCCTTTAATCTCAAGCCTGCCTTAACTTTCACTCAGGCTAGATGCCGAAAGAACAGCAGTGGCTTGGCGCCAGCATGCAGTCCTACCCTGATCTTCTCGATCCTTTTTCTGGTACTAGATCCAGGAAAGAATAGCACCTGGGAGACAGGCTGATTTTCCACCTGTCAGCAGGTGAACTGTTGCCCTCAGGCTTGAACAAGGACAGCAAATTTCTAGCTGTCCTTCCTGCTGACCAGCCTCACCCTGCCTGGAACATTCTTATCAACACTATGAAAACTCTCTCTAACATGTTATTCTGGTCAGAAGGACCATTCCTAGGAGAGAACAGAGCCTCAGGGCAAACCACACAGCACAGCTTCCTGCCAATACCTATACCTTATATTTTAAATTATGACTTTTTTTCCTGATTAGAAATTGTATGTCTGTTTTAAAACATTTGGAACAAAATATACATAAACAATTAAATAAAAGTCACC